ACCTACCTGTCTCTCCTCCACTGGGGATGGGACCTGAGAGGCTGGCTCTGGCTGCAGCAGAGGAGATGAGCTGGCCTAGGGGGTGAGCCTCCAGGCGTAAGGCTAAGGAGGCATTAGTGCTGCATGCTGAGGTGGCTTTGGTTTTCCCTGTGGGGTGGTTGGTGAAAGGTTAGCCCGGCATCAGTCAGCTGGCCTAGGGGGTGAGCCTCCAGGCGTAAGGCTAAGGAGGCATTAGTGCTGCATGCTGAGGTGGCTTTGGTTTTCCCTGTGGGGTGGTTGGTGAAAGGTTAGCCCGGCATCAGTCAGGAAAGCAGAGGTGGAGGGACGCTGCCTTAGCACACTCACTTAGCACACCCTCCTGCCAAGTGACTGGGCCTCTCTGTCTTTATTCACTTTCCTTCTGAAAGCCCCTTACGTGTTCATAGTGTGCCTGCTTCTTACTGGCCACGTGTCTCCAACCCGTGGCTCACAGTCTTCTGCTGTTAGCTGTACTGTGTCATCAAATATCTGATCCCTGGCCTTATATCTAGGCTAAGGAGCTAGGTCCTTTCTGTTTATGTACCCCCTCCCCAAACCTTCCCATGAGTCTGTTTCTATAACATGCTCGAGTTGCTGAAGGTGAAATATGCCCAGGTTCATAGCGTGCGTGTTTTAGTACTGCTGATGGGATGCAGCAGTGGTAGATATCCCGTTGCTTTCTGTTCCCATTTGTTCTGTGCTTTTGGCTGAGGTACTGCTTGTATTTTTCCTTTCATCCTGCTTAGGCTCGCAAAACTAGACCTGTTCCTTCTACCTTCTGTTTTTCAGGGCCAGGCTGTCCTGTGGGAAAGCTTATGCTGTAGGTATATGCGGAGGGAGACTGAGATTCCAGTGACTGCAGCAGGATTAGTTTTGACTTTCTTGTTGATATTTTTTTATGTGGTCTTTTAGGATCTCTGATTCTGATAAATTAAAATTGCCCTTTTGGGGAAAGATTATAGCTGACTTGTTTGAGAATTTCACTGAGCAGCAGTTACGAGAGATGTTTGTCAAGTGCAGGTGTTTTTCTGGACCTGCTGAGTTTTTCCACGTGGCTTTAGGATACCCAAAATCACACTAATTTGGTGTAATTAGGCTGCACAAGTAACTTCCAAGTAGATACTGCCTTTTCTTACAAATATGCTGGGTGCAGCATGAGGAGTTTCTTGGGTTTTACCACATTAGAAGGAGTAAATGAAGCTATTGCTTCAGTTACCGAGTCGCTGCAAAGTTGGCACAGGATGTTGAAAAGTCATGGATCCCACTGTACTTCTTGCTCTGACCTGGAGGGGTAAACTTACAGAGACTGGTTTTCTGAGCCATAGTTACAAGTATTAATGGATCTATTTTCCTTTTCAGCACTGCAGAATGGAGAACTATAAGAAGACCAAGATTGTGGAGAAGCCTTGTCCTCTTCCTTTCACTGACCTGCCCCCTGATATTATTGAGATGAAGGTGAAGGATGGGAGCAAAATCAGAAACCTGATGGGATATGCTATTGGCAAGATGGAGCTGGACTCGGTGAGGCAGATCCTTTTCACTGGCTCGGGCAAGGCCGTCAGCAAGACCATTACCTGTGTGGAAATCATGAAACGAAGGCTCAAAGAACTCCACCAGATCACCAAAGTGCTCTTCAAACAGATCGAAGAGATCTGGGAACCCATTGTGCCTGAGGCAGGCCTCGATGCCTTGACAGTGAAGAGAAACATTCCTGCCATATGTGTCTTGCTCAGCAAAGATGCCCTTGATCCCCAAGAGCCTGGATATCAGGCTCCAGGTTCTTTTGAAGCCTTCTGGATTGAGACACTCAAAGCAGAGTCCCAGGGTCAAATGAAGAGGAAGCAGGGTGCAGGAAGAGGAGCTGGCAACACAGGAAAGCACCCTCGGTCTGTCGGAGAGCATGAGGAGTCCTGCGAAAAGTCCTGAGACGAAGACGACGCGTTTGGGTGTAACTTGGGGGATTTAAGGAACAAGCCAGCTACTGTAGCTGGGAAGCTGCTGAACACATGGGCTTGCAGAGCTGTTAGGGGAGGGTAGGAGAAGTTGCTGTTTCAAAATGGACATGACTGTAGCTGTCTGAAACTGTGTTTTGACAAGTTGGCTTGTCAAAGGCTGCCAGTACTCTGTAGCTTGTGGTTGAGGAATGAACCAGATGGGAACCATCTCTATTTGAGCATGGACTATTGGCATCTCGTCAGGGGGCCCAAATTAATGGCTATTCACTGAGCTGGGTTTAAGCTGCTCGGGGAGATGCAGCAGGGGCAGCACACCACCCGCTCGTGTTGGAGGAGGAGGTGGCTCTTGCTGTGGCGCAGATGGGAGGTGTGACCCAGCTTGGATTTCTGGCTGCTGCCTGTGTCGCCAGAGTTTGTGTATACAGAAAACACGGTACTGGGCTGGATCAGCCACTTAATCTGTGCCTGAAAGTCCGTCTTCTCGTAATCCCTTGTGGCAGCCTTATGGTTTGAATGTAGGGCTGCAATCTCTCCTCAGATATGACTCCATCTGTGATTTTGTGAGAGTTGCATCCTTTCTGTCCTCCTTTGACCTCCTCTGTGGAGTTGGCAGATGATGCCCTCTATCTGCCAAAGTGTCAGGAGTTGACTGATCTAATAATCGGCCCGAAATCCTGAAGCTGTGCGAGTGCCCTGGGGTTGTGGTAATGGTTAGCTCCAAAGCACACTGTTTTCCTTTTCTGCTCGTTTGTGATACATAGAAAGGGGTTTAAAATAAAGTTTCTTCTTTATTTAATGTGAAATTTGTGATGTCTTTCTCATCGTGCTGGAGGTCATTTTCTAAACATTAGTGATAGAACTGCAGCTGTGGCTGTGGGCTGAACCTTTGGGCTTTAACCTGCTTCTGAGGAGGAAGGGAACCTGCATGTGGGAAGTTTTTTCTCTCATAAAGGAACTGTAAGTGGGCCGTGGTGTGTATTTGGGGAGTGGGGGGGGATATTTTTTCTTTCCTTCCTTTGCAGTTCACCTTCAATATCCAAAGAAGGGTCAGCGCTTGTTTCTTCTGGGAAGCTTTTTGCCTTTTTTTTTTTTTTTAAACTGCCAAGAATTGCAGTCTTAAGTTCTTGGCCCAAACTTTGTTAAATTAAATGAGACACAGCATCTTTTCTTGCTCTACAGTTTTACTTCTGGAGCAGCTGAGGTAAGTAAACACAGGGCAGGAAGAAAGTGCTGTTACTCTGAAAGCCTGAACTCTTGCCAGAACACCACCTGCTTAAACCGTGTTGTGATTTAAACCACTGCCTGTCCTCCTTACTCTACTTCCTTTTCAGTTAGTATCTGTCAGCCTGTGCAGAACTGCCACAACTGCTCTACTTTGAGGGATCCTTTCAAATCCATGGGAAACAAATGCCTAGAGAAAGGGTGAAAGGGGAGAGGTGGTGCCTTACCTGTGTGGCAGGAGACCTTCACAGCCAAGCCTGAGACTTCCTCCGCCTGCATGGCGTTTTAACTTGCATCAGGGCACAGGCTGAGCTCCCAGACCAAGCCAGAACGGTGCCAGACCCTTGCACGATTTGTTTTTGTCTGATGCTTATTCTCACTCGTGGATGAGCCATTTCATTCCTTTGCCTCTTAACATGTTTCCCCAAACTACAGAAGCTGTATGAAAACATGCTTTCTGAGTATTTCAGCAGTGTCTTTCTGGCTAGCAGCAGCTTCTGTTGTTGAGGGCCACGCAGCAAAAGGGGTCATCTTCGGAGTCTAAACGTAATGACATACAAAACCAAGAAGTAATGGAAAGGGAATTAACTTGTGATCTTCAATTAAAAAAAGGAAAAGTCGAAGACAATAATCTGAGTTGTTCTCAAGGCTAGTAAACACCTTCCCCTCCCTCCCCCCGAGGATGCTTTGGCTATAGGTAGTCTGGGTTTAGCTCTCAGTAAAGCACAGCTGCTGTTCAGACATGCTTGTCCACCAGATGGATAGAAAGGATGGGGCAGCGTTACACCTCGTAAAGTTGTGAACGCGCGGTGCTGGCTGTATCCTACTGCTCCAATTTTGTAGCGTTAGGTGCAAGTGTCTGTGTCGAGCTCATGCTGGTCTGGAATTAAACATTGCTGATTTTACATATGTTGTCTCACTTCATCCTGAAAGGAACATTTAAAATGGGAGATGATGCCGCATGAGGCGTGTAACACAGCCTGCCTGACGTGGCTGGCATGAGCAGCGCCCTTACGCGGGTGCGTGTGATGAGATGCAGCTTCGGAGCTTGTGAAAAGGTTTCTGTTGTTTTCATAGACTGGAAAATAAGCTATTTTGGGGGAAATCTCGTGGAAACGTTCTGGAGTGACTGCTGAGGAACCTCAGGGGCACGGCGGCAGCCTTGCCGCAGCGCGCGGGCTGTTCGGTCGGCCTCATCCTGGCCCCGCTCTCCTCGCCCGGCTGCACGAGGTACCTGTGAGAGCAGATGAGGCGTTTTAGTATATGGCCAAAGCAGATGAAACCTGGAGATGGAGCAGAGTTAAGCTAAGGTTATTTGTCTTTGCCAGAGCCCTGCTGTTCCCAGCTGCTGTTCCCTCACATCCAAGGAGGAGACTGCTCTTATTAAATAATCAGCCGAGCTTCCCTCCCCAGGGCGCTGGCGGCGGCCCGGCTGCGCAAGGAGCAGACCTTCCTGGGGGCGGCGCACCGAGTCGGCCCCCGCTTTTGGGCACTTGCTGCCTTTCCGCTGGCGGGGGCACGGCAGGGGGGGGGCCC